GAGAGAGAGAGAGAGAGAGAGAGAGAGAGAGAGAGAGAGAGAGAGAGAGAGAGAGAGAGAGAGAGAGAGAGAGAGAGAGAGGGAGGGAGGGAGTCTATGGAGCAAGATTGCAACCATGGTAGTCCTCTGACGGTGCAATTCTTAGCAGCACGTGTAGGCTGAACTGATACCATGGCTGCCAAGGAGATGATAAGAGGGAACATTGGGAAGGCGGGGAGGAAAGGATGGCTTCCATATGTGTGCCACACACAAAAGCAGTGCCAATACAAATTTCCTGAACGTTGGGACAGGTTTTCTTCATGCAGCCGCATTGCAGCGTGAAAAGGTACCACTGTACCACCTATGGGGCAGGGATTGCAGTGATGGCCCCACCTTCGACATAAGTGATAGCCACAATCTGCCAGTTGAGCGCCCCGCTGGCTGTGCTTACAACATACACAGTCAGTTGGGGGGGGAACGGTCGCTGAGGGACTGGGTACAATTGGGAGTCCCCCGACTCGGAATCCCTGCCTCCACCCCCCCCCCCCCCCCCCCCCCCTTTCCTGGGTGTGACGTGGGAGTGTGATTACAGCCTTGATCATCAGGGTAGGCCCTGCCTATACCTCTGCCTGCACACCCTTGAAACAAATAAAATAAAATAAAATAAGAATCAAGATCACGGAGACACCCAAGGACAAAAAGTCCGACTGGGGCTTGGTCTTGGCAGACACACAGAGAGCAAGCGAACCAGTCATGGAGCAGAGAAGGCTTGAGCAAAACAGTTCTGATGGTGATGTTAAACCACTAGTACCTTTGGCGTCCGGTTTCGACAAGTTTTTGCCAGCTCCCGAACATTTAGGAGGCCGGACCCGACATCGGCTGCCGTTGATAAATCTGATCGGCGGCCATCGTTTCGTTTCGGCCTCCTGAAAGGTCAGAGGCCCACTATTTTCCGAACCGACAAATGTACTAGTGGTTAAAAAAAAAAAAAAAAAAAGAGGAGAAGAAACACTTACATGTAAATCCCAGACGTTGATTGTGCGATCGTACGCCGAGCTCACGGCTCTGCGTCTGTCTGCTTTGCTGAAATCCACTGAGCAGACCTTTTCCGTGTGCCCGGTGAGCACGTGTCGCTCCCTCCCAGAGTCCACATCCCATAACATGATCTTATGGTCGGTCCCCGCGCCAAGCACCCCTTTGTTATCTAGTGAGATAGCGATATCCATAATCGACCCCAGAGACCCGCGCAGTTTTTGTTTCTCGGACATGTTGTCCACGTGCCACATTTTCACCTGCCGGTCCATTCCACCAGTCAGTACTATTCCATTTCTATAGCCGAATACAGCCGAAGAGCAATCCCCGTCATGCACACGTGTCGTACTCTTCACACCCGATGGAAGACCAGACGGCATGAAATCCTCTGCCATATCCTCACTTCTACGCACAACGCCATCGACCGACCTCCTTGCTAGCTCCTGTGCAGTGCCACAGCAACACGAACTGATCAAACAACAGAGGGAGGCACAGGGGGTTGGGGGGAATGGGTAGGAGAAACAACTTCTTTCGGTGGTGGGAGTGGGGTTTGAGCCCATGCAGCCAAAGAATCTGGAAATACAAGTACTGCGAGCCCATGCGGCCAAAGAATCTGGAAATACAAGTACTGCTTCTCGCAGCAATAGCCTCACAGCTTTCACAGATGGCTTTCGTGTTCCAAACAGAATACGAAAGCTGCATTCCCCCCCCACAATGCAGACCAACCAATCCACACATCATCTTTGTATTTGCATTTTTATTTTTTCGGTTTGGACCATTTCTCAATTTATGCCTGTCATCCTTGCACAGGGGGCCATTTGCTGATTTACCCTTCTCAGTATCGTTCCAATTCTACCTGATATGTCCCTAAGGACAACGGACACATCATCTTATTCCTTTTCATCCTTTGCTTTCACAGAAGGCATAGGAGGAGTTCTGTAAAGGATGAGAAAGCCACATTCCCCTGCCGTTGAATTGAACACCCGGTCATTAGAGTGGGGCTATATTTGTCACAACTTTTGGTCCGGATACCGTGAGGTGTATTTGTCAAAATGTGGCGGCTGACCCCCAAACCCCTTGATTTCAGTTTTCGACCTGTTACTCAGGAGATGAAAGTGGGGGTCCCCGTTAACCGCTTGTGGCCCGTTACTCGGGAGCTGAAAGTAGGGATCCCCATTAACCCCTTGTGAGACTCCCCAGTACATTTCCCCAGCCATTTTTCTACGACGGGGCTGCATGCGCGCCGCATCTGGCGGGATGTACTGTGATGCCGGTTCACAAACAATCCATCCAGGCAAATTGGGTCGCACGCAAGGCCAGTTTTGCATGGATGGATACTTTGTGAAGCCGGTACCCCCGATACATCCCGCCTTGCACGCCGCGTCGTAGAAAAATGGGTGGGAAACGTACTGGTGGTTTAAGGAATGGACCAATATCGATCTGCATTTTGTGATGAAGTCGGCAATAGACTTTCCACTGTGTCCAGAAAGTGGCACATAACAGGGGGGTAGCGACTGTTTATTAAAACCACAAGACTCTGCCAAGTGGTAACACGGCGTATCGAGTCTGACACCTGCCCGGTGCCAGACGTGAAAAGGAGAAGTGACATAAGCTTGGAATAGAAGGCCCAGTAAATGGCGGCGGTAAAGGGCAAACTCACACTGGGACCTGTTTCTAGATGGAATCGTGGCCAGATGCGCACAGGTCTGGTCGTAAGAGCGGTCAGATACATTTCAGATAGTGCTAGTGTGAGTACGCCCTAACTGTCAACGTTAGGGCAGTTCTAAAAAGTCCGGCTATCTGCTGGAATACGGCAGAAAGGCCACTTGTGTGGATACCGACTAAACAAAAAATAAAAAATAAAAAATGTCCATTCCCCGCCTGCCGATAATGCTGTGGTAGAATTATTACAGTAGAAAAATAATTTTGTCAAAATGGACATTTTTTATGTTTCGAACGAAATTGAAACCGACTAAATCGTGGTCCGATTGAGGTCAAAATTTGTAGCTTTTGAGGGTACAGCGTTCTTCCAAATGCTGTAACCCCCTGGACGCCAGCGACGTCCAGATGCATCCAGAGGTTAAGAACGCCGTACACCCTGGACTCCTGCTAAGTCCAGATACATCCAGGGGGTAGGGCATTTTAAGAACGCTGTACCCTCAAAAGCTACAAATTTGAACTTCAATCGAGCCAACTTAGTCTGTTTCAATTCCGTTCCAAAAAAAAAAAAAAAAGTCCATTTTGATGAAATAGCTGTTACAGGGGCAATGGCGACTGACTCAGGCCCCTGTGGGGTTGTGGGATATCCAACACCACTCATCTTCGTAAAGCGTTTGCAGAAGATTACCGTTGCCAGAGAAGAGACCTCTAAGGAGATATGCGGAAAGACTCCGACAGTCGCTGCTTGGTAAGTACTAATCGGAATACCACACATCCATAAGTACTAATCAGAATAGCACACATCCGTAAGTAAGTACTAATCAGAATAGCACACATCCATAAGTAGTACTAATCAGAATAGCACACATCCATAAGTACTCATCAGAATAGCACACATCCATAAGTCCTAATACGAATAGCACACATCCATAAGTACTAATCATAATAGCACACATCCATAAGTACTAATCAGAATAGCACACATCCATATAGTTGGGTGTTTCCAAGCCATCTGTCTCCTCGGAATAGCCACATCGAACGAGGAGTATGCAGGTTCAAAAATACGAGGAACAAAATCGGAATTTTGTTTGGACGAGCACAGCTGCGAGGATCTGGGTCCTCGGCAGGCCTAAGGGGCCCTGATACAGATGTGCCCGCCCTAAGTGAAGGCGGGCCTAACAAATCCCGAGAGGCCCATTACTGTCAATTTCGTATTTGGGGTCCAGGCAGTTGTGACGTGCCAGTCGGTTGAGGGAACACAGGCACGAGCAGCAAAGATTTTTCACGGCCCTCCAGGCTTTTCCTGAAATGCAGGCCCTGGGCAAGAATCACAGCTTCATACACACAGTTGGGAGGCCCAACTGAACAAGGACCAGCAGCTGCAACAGAGGCGCAGACTCCTGGGGCCTACCGGAAGCTTCTGGGCAGAGGCCCAGCCCAGCCAGGCCGCCGGGGCAGGCAGACTCTTTCCATGTACGAAAGAGCTCAATGCCTGGAGTCTCATTCAGGCACTTGCCAGTCTGTGCAGCAGCGCTGCTGGAGCAAAGGCTCGCGTGCTGCTGTGCGCTAAGGGCAAGGTGCTGCGCACGTGCGGTCGTGCAAGAAGCAGGGTGCTGGTGAGGGCAGCGCCATAGCCCAGCATTCATAGCTGGCTGGGGCTTGGACTACAGTGAGATGCAGAGGTGGTCTTCGGGTGTACAGAGGGAAGACGTGGGTGTAAGTCGAGGGAGAGAGAGAAGGATGATGATGATGATGATGTGAGGGCATACCTGGTATTGGCGATGGTCTGCATTGGGCGACATCTTCAAGTACTTCGTTGGCTGCTGACGTCAACAGTTGCATTGTCAATTAGTAGACAGACAGTAGCTGTGAAGGAAGTAGGCTGGGCGCCGAGCGCCAAGTAGGGAGAAGGGCCTGGACGCTTATGTTGTTGGTGGTGCTGAGAGCAAGCTCTGATTGACATTTGGTTTTTCAGTGTTACGATTCTCCATTGGTGTTATATTGGTGCAATGCTGCTTTCTGGACACGGTGAAACTTTCTGGCTTTCAATGTGATTGTGCAATCTGGATATTGTCATCTCGCTATTGCTCATTTTCCTTGCAATTTGGTATCGGAGCTGGTTCGAACTGCGCTTCATTGGTTCTTCTCAATAGCTGTTTGGTGCTTCGCATGAGGTGTGGGGCAGTGATAAGGCTTGGGCGTTGAACGATTGGCAGCCCAGGGTCGTGTGGGCGCACCAGGAAGCCTATGTGGTGACATAGGGGTGTACGCTGGATGATGAGTGCTCGCTGATGTGGCATTTAAGCCGCGAGGTGGAACTCCATTTCGCTGTTTGTTGTGCCGAGGCAGAGACCGGTCATCATAAATGCATGTCAGGTTGCCGGTGAGAAATCCGTGGTTGGGGGCAGCATTGTGAGGTGTCGCGAGTGCTCATCCTTGAGAGTCGACATTCTTCCTGGGCAGCAATCTGGTGGGAGACGGGCGAAGCCTCTAAGGGGCCCTGGACGAAGCACTCGGGTCATGGTCACCATGCCAACCCGCTGGGACTACTTCACGCATGCTTTCCCGCAAGTCCTTGGTTCTGCTGCTACGCAATAGAGGTCATGCCGGGCATGCCAGCCCTTTGAACAGACGCTTATCAGACCGTCTCTAAATATTTCTGGCAGGTTCCGGATTGGACCCTGGCTGTGATCGTCGTCCTGTCTGCGACGTTACATAATTCCTAAGGACCTTGGGAGCTGTCCTTAAACTGCCTCTTGATCAGCCAGATCAACCGGAAGTAAGGATCGTTGCATGCGAGGGTAAACAAGGTGCAGGGGCTGGCAGGTTCAGCATAGACTTGGGGCACAGGGGTGGGCCGGATTGCACACCTTCACACACGCCACTCAACCAGATGCTCAGGGCGTTGACACAAAGTGACCACTCAAGAAGAATTCCGGTACCTGTTCGCTGTTGTATTAATTAGATAAACTGCCATCCAGCATACATCTCCACAGGTAGACTGTTTTATTTAAATTATTTTTGATTATTTAGTTGTACGGACTTGTTTGACAACTGACAGACAACTGTAGATAGGATAGTATCTTCCTTGCTGCATTGCATTCTGTATTAGAGTAATCTAAAAATAGAACTAGTGTTACCTTTTGGATCTGACATTAGTTGCTATTGACCACTTGACTACTTCTCTCCAGGTGGACCGAAAATAGTTGAACACCATACTCGGTTGGGTGTCATGCTGAGGTAGGATTCAGTGTGAATTCTAGTTTAGACCACACTCCACTGTAGCTCATGAGCGAAGCAAGCAGTAGTGAGGAGGAGGAACGAGTAGTGGAACCTCTTAGAGTTACACGTAGAACTGCTCTGAGTCGTCCGATCACTTTTCAAGAGTTAGCTCCAGAAGAGGAAAGGCGGCTGCGGAGGGAAGTCGGGGAGAGGGAGGCATATCGGAGGTTTAGGGCAGCAGCAGCCACCTTAGAGGCCGCAATGGCTACCGCCTCCACAATGTCGCAGGCCCTATCCCAGGCCTCTTCGTCAGGAGTCAGTCAGGGCGTTTTTCAGGGTTCCATTAGTCAGACTGCTTGGCTTGCATGTCAGCCAACAGACTCAACTTACACCTACAGCAGCAGTTGAGAGAAGCAGATGAGAGGAGACAAAGGGCGATAACGAGGAAAGCTAGATTAGGAACTAGGAGGCAGGAGTTAGGCAAGTTAGAAGCACTGGATGAGTCCAGATTGGACCCTGCAATACAAGCGCTGCGTCGCTCGCTGTTATGCGTGGCAGAAAC